GAATCGAATCGGCATCGGACTCCGTCGAAATCGGATCGAACGGAATCGGAGGAATCGCCATGAGCCCTGTCGCAGGGCGGCCTCCAGGTCCCGGCTCCTCCGCCCCTGCGACGGCGCGGGCGCAGCGGGGCCCTCGCCCGTGGCCCGCCGCGCGGCGTGCACCTGCGCGCGAGCGTGCGCGCCGCGGGCGCGCTTCGGCGGCCGCCGCCGACGTCGCGGCTTGTCGACGACGGCGACGACGACGACGACGACGACGACGGCGGCGGCGGCGGCGGCGGCGGCAGCGGCGGCAGTGACGGCGACTCTCGACTACGACAACCCACGCACTCTCGCGTCGTAGAAAAGGCGGGAGCTTCGTGGCAATTGTGGGCCTCAGGGGGCCCTCGCATGGCCCCAGGACCGTCAAACAACCGTCGGGATGAAAAACCGGCCGTGGGGAAGGGTCGGAACTTCCAGGGACTTCTAAGAGGTCCTCAGCAGCGGCCGACGTCGCAGCTCGACGACGACGGCGGTGGTGGCCCCACATCTCCGACGGTACGATGTTGTTCCATCTGGGCGGGTGTTCATCGATTCCGCCCCTCCAGGGCCGTTCCCCGGGATCACCAGGACGCATGCAGGGCAGAAGATTGGCCCTGCGGAAGACTCTGGGACCTCTGGGGCCGCGCACTTGAAAAATCAGATCGTCGGAAATCTGGGGTTGCGGCTTGACGAAGACGACGACGACGACGACGACGACGACGACGACGACGACGACGAGGACGACGACGACGACGACGACGACGACGACGACAGTGGCGGTGACGACGACACTCGACGACGATGACGACGAGGACGACGACGAAGACCACGGCGACGCTTCGGAGGTCGCCAAGAGGTCTGGGCCCTAGAGGAATTCTCCAGGAGACGCAGACAGGACTGGCAGCGCCCAGAAACCTCAATCCTCGATCTCGATCCTCCGCTCGGCCGCCGCCAGTCGCAGCTAAACGACGACGGCGACAGCAACAACGAGCCTCCACGACGATGCAGAAGCGGGCCCAGTGACTGGCCGCTGCTTGCCAGCTCGGCACCTTGGTGGTGGAGCTCAGCGCCCACATGCCACGTCGCGGCGACGCGGCGGAGGGCATAACCTGACCTCCCGGGCACCCCGGCCACCACTTTCGGCCGCTTCGCACTACCTCCACGGTCCAGAACTTCTGCTTAGCGTTGGGTCGGGCATGTCCTCCTACAGGAGGATTTGGGACAACAGAAGAGATTTTAAATGATCCCAACTACTCCAGATTTCGTAATAAAGGGAGGGGGGTCTCATTTCGGGGGGGTCTCTTCCAATCTATCTTGGAGGGCCTGGGGGGGTCTGGGGACGATGTTTTGGAGGGTTCTCCCACGGGGGGGGGGTCTGAAATGGCTTGTCTTGGAGGGTCCAGACCCCCTCCCTTTTATTACGAAATCTGGAGTACCCAAATAAGCAACAATAGTCGAACAATCGTCCCCAGACTCGCTTCTAGCTATTTCTGAAGGTTCCCCCTGGTACAGGGACATGCCCGACTCAAGCTCATAGCGTGCCGCGGCGGCGGCCCCTGCGACACGCTATATTATGCTGTGCGAGCGGGTAGCGCGCGTTGCTCTATGCTCCGTGGGGCGGGAGGCTCAACGAGGCTCGGGTCGGGCGAAAGGGGGGGATAGCAAAGGGGGGGTTTGAGAATCAGCTCACGTAGCTGATTTTCCCGGCGCCTCCCGGCGCCGGAGGCGGCTATGTATCGAGGAATGGGCCCCTCGGTGAGGCCGAAACCAGCTGCATGCAGCAAATTTCGTAACCCCCCCTTTCCCAATCCCCCCCTTTCGCCCGACCCGAAAGGCTCAGGACGTTCATGCTTGGGGGCCGGGACGTGGAGAGCGTGTCCCACCGAAGCGTGATGGGCCAGAACCGGCGGAACGACACGCTCATCCAACAACTCCCGCCCGTCACCTCTGCTCGGTTGTGGGAGCTGGCACCGCAGTCGGCGGCGACGGCGCTTCTCTGCGCTCTTCGGCCACGCCTGGCGGTTCTCGTCGCCTCGGCTGGACGCAGCTCGAGAAGCTGGCCGGGGTGGGCCCCAGGGAGGGCCCAGGAGACGATCCCCTGAGAGCGGATTCCTGTCCGGTCGTGCACGCCATCGCAGGGCCCAACACGGCCCATGGCCAGGCACGGCGGCGGTGAGCAGGCGCCTCCTCTTCACGCGAGAGGAGGCCCCCGTTCCTCTCTCCCCGCGTCGGGGCGAGGCCTTCTGCCCGGGCCCTGCGGGAGAGCAGGAACTTGAGATCCGACGCTGCGGAAGAATTGCGACACGGCGGGCAGTGGTGACCGGAGCCCCAGGCCCCATCACTCTGCGGCACACTCTGGGCCGTGTCGATCCGTGATGGCCCCGGGGCCCGAGAGCTGGCGACAGCACTGGGTGCGCGGCCGCCTGCTTCTGCGTGGCAGGAGGCCCCAGACATCTACGACGTCCCGCGTCTTGCAACGCGGGGCCTCCGGGAGGAGGAGGAGGAGGAGGAGGAGGAGGAGGAGGAGGAGGAGGAGGAGGAGGAGGACGACCTCTTCCTCGGGGCCGGCTTTTCGTCCCGCGTCGTTGTCGACGGCCCATGCCCCAGGGGTCCGGCGAGGGCCGCCCCGCAGGCCGTAAACGGTCCAAAGCCTCCCGTCGCGCTTCTGTTCTGAGCATCGTTGAACCGGTCCCCATCCCCAGCGGCGTGGCCTGGGCCCCCCTGGCTGATGTGCCCCCCTAGACGGGGATATGGGCCGCTCCCTTCGGGTGTCGAGGGGCGTATCCCCAACTGGGGTGGTGCAGTAATCTGGTGGGGATCTCGAAGGGGATGGGGATGGGGATCGGCTACACGATGCCGATGTCCAGGACCCGAGCACGTCTGGATCTCTCTGCGCGAGAGCCCACGCCAGGCCGAGGCCCGCGGCCGGGCCCTGCGGGGCAGCCCGAGGAGCAGCACGCGCCGCCTCCCGGGCCCCGAGCCCGCCGACAACCCGACGAGAGGAGCTGCCCCGTGCGCGGCCCCAGCCAGGAGGAACCGGCCCCTTCCACGGGGCTGGTCGGTCGCCTCGGGCCCGCGCCTGGCGGCCCTCTGGGGCCCGAGGGCGGGCCCCCCCCGAGGCCCGAGGCGCCCGGTGGACGGCAGCACGCCGTGGGGAGGCCGGAGCCTCCTCGCGGCGCTCGGGGGGTGCGCCGCCGGGGCGCGCCGGCGGCGGGCGGCGCGCCGACGCGGGCGGGGCGCGCGGAGGGCCCCCGGAGGCCGAAAGGGAGGGCAGCGGGCGAGAGCTCCCTCGGCCTCGAGTCGGGGGCGTCGAGGAGGGGGGCGTCCCGAGGGGGGGGGAGAGGGGGGGGGCAAATCACGGCCAGCGGCACGTGCGCGGCCCAGGAGGGGGCAGGAGACGCATTGGAATAAGGAGGGGCGCCATGAAATCTGAGGAGGTGTTATGGCCCCCGCCATGATATCCCCCCCCCTAGTCATCACTCCCCTCTTGGCCGCGCCCGAATACCGGATCCCCGACGAGCGCAGCACGGCCCGAGAAGGGCTCACGGAGAGCCCGAAACGCCCAGAACCTGTCCTCGGGCGTGTTGCTAGAAGTGCCCCTGGCCCAAGGTGCCCCCAGCCTTCCGTTCCATTTTGGAGCCCTGGAGGCCCTCTAGGCCTCGTGAGGGGTGCCCTGGAGGCCGGCAGGGCCACCCCGAGAATCCTGGGGGTACCTTGGGCCAGGGGTGCAGTCGGGGCGTTGACCTAAGGAACCCTAAATAAGGAACGAGGCCCCTTTTTCCCATAAGTTAAACTTTGATTTCCTATCAAAAACATAAGGAAAACCTGAGGCAAGCTGTGAAACACTTAAGGAACGCGGAGCCCCTCCCCAACGAAAAGGGTTCCTTCCTCAGGGCCCCGACTGTACTTCTAGCAGCACCCGATCCGAACCCGGAAGGAACCGTCCGGCTTTCACGGTCCCCGAGCTGCGCGCACGGCGCCCCGCGGTGTGCGGCAGGCGCTTTTCTCGCCGCGCCCTCGCGCCATCCCTCCGTGGGAGGAGGGCGGCCGCTCCGGCCCAGGCCGCGGCGCGCGGGTACGCTCGCGCGCCCCCGCGGGTGACCCGGGCCTCGCGCTGCCAGGAGAAGGCGAGCGCTCTCTGAGCATGTTCTCAGGGCGGAGGGCTCAGGGAGTGAAATCCATCTGGGCTTTCGCACCTCGAAGATCCATCCGTCTTGTGATTCACCTGGTGCATATTCAAAACTCGAAAGTCAACCATTCTTTATTACACCGCAGGCAGCGCGCGCGATGTGTTAACGCCCTCTGTCCGCTCTAGCGCCGAGGCTGACTGGCAGGGCGGCGCCACCCGGGCGGACAAATCGTCCCCCCCTGTGAGTCAAAACTCGAAGATGAAACGAAACAGCATTTCAGATTTCACCCTTTGCCCTCCACCCAAAGAAGATGCTCGGGTTTTCTCCTTCGGCGTTCCGACGTTGGGCGGAAAGGGGGGGGAGGGGCGGGGTTCTGGCCCTGGACCTCTGCTCGGCGCGACTACTTGCAGCAGTGCGTCCGATGAGGGAGACTCCGCCTGCTTGGAAACAGGCGCCAGAGACAGCCAAGATCCACTCCATTGGGGGGAGGGGAGGGGGGGGGCGAGGGCCCGCGCCGACCGGCAAAACAGTGCATAAGAAAACGATCGCACGGAGGGTATCCCAAAGCAGGTGGTTCACAAGGAGGGACGCGCGGGGATGCAGCGGCAAGCGCAGGACGGGAGGAGACTCTCCCCAGACGTCCCACGCCGCGAGTCCTCGCGGTGCGGCTCCCCAGAGGGCTGGGCTCCCGCACCCTGGGCCAGCTTCTCATCCCGAGCCGCTTCTGGACGGCCCCCGGGGCCCAGCCAGGGGCCCCCCCCTGGAGGCCGAGAGAATGGTCGAGAGCCTCCCGCCTCGGCCTTCGCCACGGCGCGAAGGGGGTCTGGAAGGCACGTCGGGCCCGCGCTTTTTACTCAACCAAGCGCAGGATGTCGATCGCTCACGGCAGCTGTGCCGGCATGCTGGGCCGCGCTCGCGCCACAGCGTTGCCCCAGACTCCCGACGTCGTGTTCCCTTTTCGCAGCGTCGACCCACAGAGGTCTCGGCCCGTTCCCTGGGACAGGCTTCTCATCCTGAGCCGTTTCTTTGTACAGCCCCGGGGCCTGGCAGGGGCCCACGATAGGAAGGCACCAACTATACACCAACACCGATCCCGGCCAGGATCAACCTGGGCCCAGGATCGGTGTATACGCCCTCCTGCCATGGGCAGAATGCATATACACCGATCCTGGGCCTAGGATCGGCCTGGGCTGGATCGGTGTAGGTGTATAGCTGGTGCCCTCCGACACGAGGCCGAACACATGGCAGAACCTCCCGTCTCGCACTGCTGCACGATGCCTGGGGGTCTGGGGACGCCCGCTCCTGGCCGGCCGGGGCCTCAGAGGCCCGAGGCCGGCGAGGGCGCCGTCGACAGCGGGCCGGGCGCCGGACTGCGCACCGAGGGGGAGCAGGGTGAAGAGGAGTGGGAGCAGGAGAAGGAGGAGGAGGAGGTGGAGGAAACCTCGAACCTCGAAGCTCCTCATCCTCGGGAAGAGGAGGCGGAGGAGGAGGAGGAGGAGGAGGAAGAGGAGGAAGAGGAGGCGCCCTCGCCGGCCTCGGGCCTCCGGGGAGGGACCCCCGGGGCGAGGGCGCCCACGTGGCGCGCGGCCTGCCGATCGCGGCGTGCAAGCGCGGCAGCAGCGGCTCGCGCGCTCGGGCTCGCTCCTCCTCCTCCTCCTCCTCCTCCTCCTCCTCCTCCTCCTCCTCCTCCTCCTCCTCCTCCTCCTCCTCCTCCTCCTCCTCCTCCTCCTCCTCCCCGCGCCCCGCGGAGGCCGCACAGCCCCACGGGGTCCCTCCGCCAGAGGGTCGCCCTCCGGCGTGCCGCCGGCGGGCGGGCCTGCAGGCCCCTACAGGAAGGGCATCGCCGGGGCCGCCTGCGGCCGCGTGGGCCTCGGCAGCAGCTTCCGGGGGGGCGGCAGCATCCTGGCGGCGGGCGCGGCCGCGGGCACTCCACGCCCTCACAAAGAAGGGGCAAGCTTCGCGGCCTTCTCCGAAGGCCAGGGGCCTTCCCGAGCCTTCTGAGGAGGCCTTCTCCTCCTCACCCTCCCCCCATGGGCTCGCCGCCGAGCACACATGAGTTTTCTTTGGAGCAGAAGGAGGGGCAGAAGGGAGGGGACGACCGCAACAACTCTCGAGTCACCTGTGCACTCCGTGGCGGTGTGCGACGATGTGCCGCCGAGCACAGACGTCGACGCCGCGCCTTCCCTCCCGCCGCCTTCCGAGGGCCTCCCGCCGAGGGCGGGGCGCGCGGAGGGCGAGGGCACCTCCCGGCCCGCAGCCGCCCTGGTGGAGGGAGCGGCCGCGTGCCCCTGGGGGGTCCCAGGGCGGCGGGGATGCAGGGAACTGCGGGGGTCGAACCAAATCCCCACAAACCTGGCACCGTAAGTGCAGTGCCAGGGGCGGCGGCCCGTCTTCCCATCTTACATCATAGGAGGATGCGAAGTCCCTGAAGACGGGACGGGGTGGGCACGAGCGGGCATCATAGCCGGCTCAAAATCAAAAGAGGCATCATAGCCTCATCAGTCTAGATTGATCCACTCACGGATCCACTGCAATTTATTTCCATTGAATTCATTCCATGCATAGCATGCTCACCCCTCGCGTCGAGGAAAGAAGCAAACGACGGAAGGTGCTTCGTGGTTGTCGGCTTCCGGGCCTCGGGACCGTCAGGCAGCGGCCCAGGAGGATGCCAGCACGCAGGGGCGGTCTTCGGGCCGTGGGGTCATCAGAAATAGGCCCGGGGCAGGAGACTGCTCCCGGGGAAGGGGCCGGGACACTGGCTCCACTCGTGCGTCGATGCTGCGGCGAACGTCTGTCGAATATAGCCGAACTGGAATCGAAAGACCTCAGGTCCCTTATTAGTCGTCCCCTTGGGGGGCAGATTGTTGAAGCGTTTTTTGGTAGGTGGGGAGGGGTACGGTCCATTAAGAACCGTAGCTTTGGGGTGTCCGGTTCATCATGGCGTCTGTCGTCATAATCCTAACCAGCATCATCATGATCACCATTCAGACCCCATGGGTGATCCGCACATGGTGAGGCAATTCCGTTGCGCCTACCCGCGACGATGCAACTCGGCACGACGATGGTAGGTATGAGGTGTGAATCCTCATCACGATCGACACTGCATGAGCACACGCGCGATGTTATCGCTTGCTCCTCCCATTGTGCTCAACGTCGGCTTCTGTCCAGCGCGACCACGATGCGATGTCAGACTTGGAATTCCAACCAGGGAAGGCGTCCCTGGCGGAGGGGCGGTCGGATTATCAGGGTGCCAAGGAGGGTGGAGGGCTGGTTTTTTACGGGGGGTAGGGTCAGGCAAAGTCCATCACAAAGAACACTTTGAACAACACGTCGAATGTCTGTCAACGGCGCCCGCAACGGGGTGGCGCGAGGGGGGAGCTTCTAAGGCTCCGGCGCGGCTTCGAAGCAGGCAGGGAACGGGGTCTCAGAAGCCCGCTCAGCTTCTGAGAGGCCTTCTTAGGAGCCTCCGGGGCCTTCTAGAAGGTCCGCGCCGCGGCGACTCTTGCGCGCTGCGCTCTCTTCCGACACCGCGCGCCTCGCGCATAGCCTTGGAGCGATCGCGGCTGCGCTCCTCGGGTCGGACGAAAGGAGGGGAGGAGCAAAGGAGGGGCTCGCATATCAGCTCGGAGGCGACGACGGGGGGGAGCAAGACGCGTGTCCAGGGGCGCCGACGGTCCACGTTTTTGGCGAGGCTCCCCGGCGACTGCGTGTCATGTCCGCCCCTGGGCGATTCGCCCCTCTCGTCGCCCCCGATCAGTTCACGTAGCTGGTTTACCTGCATGGCCCCTCCCCAGCGACTGCGAGGCGACCGTATGCATCCAGGAGAGCGCTGGGCGGCGGGGCCGGAATCAGCGTCACGGCAGAGTTCTCTCACCCCTCCCCCCCCGCGCCCGATCCTCCCTTTTCCCTGGGATCCTGCGTTGCGAGAACCTGCCAGCCCCGCAGACCGTCACAACCGGAAAACCCTTATCTTCCTGCAACGCTGGTTTTTGCGCCGGTCCCGGGGCCCGAAACTGGGCGAAGACGCTCGCTGTGCAAGCACTGCACCGCCCGAGCCTCAGGGCTCCTCCGGCCCGAAGGGCTCTCTGCCGGCAGCGCAGCTCTACCTACTCGCCCGCGCAGTCCCGGTCGCCAGCGCGGCGGCACGCGGCACGATCCTGCCACGCAGCCCAGGAGGGCACGCCGGGCTCGCGCGAAGGGGGGGGCGTTCTCTCCGCGGGCCCCGGACCTCCAGCGGGTGGAGTGGCTCCATCTTGGTGCTTCTTCGACGGTTTGTCGGCCCCCGGTCGTTTCTGTTCTTCATGTTCGGTCTCCGGGTGGCCTCGCCAGGCCCCAGGACAGTCAAAAGACAATTTGCGATGAAAGATCGGTGAAGGGGAATGGGTCGGGACGTCCAGGGACCCCGTGTTCATCCTCGCGAGTCGCGACGGTCGGTATGGACCATGACTAAGACAGGCGTCGACGAGGTCTTGCGACGTCTTGGCCATACTCATCGTGAATATTTCCTCCAGTTTCGGGGTCCAAGACCATTCAACGCCTATCCTGGACGACAACTCCGTTCCGCGGGAGAGTCGAGAGCTCGGAGGCCCAGGGATTGAGGCCGTCACGGCGTCGGGGGTCGGGGGCCGCGGTCAGCCTACAGCATGGAGGTCCATGTTGAACCGCTCCGCCTCCGGCCGAAGCTCGTTCGAATCCCCACCCCAGGCCCCGCGACCCCCGCCGCGTCTTCGAGCGCCGAGGGCAGCCAGGGCAGCACGGGGAGCCCCGCCCCTCCTCCTCCTCCTCCTCCTCCTCCTCCTCCTCCTCCTCCTCCTCCTCCTCCTCCTCTCCTCCTCCCTCCTCTCCTCCTCCTCCTCCTCCTCCTCCTCCTCCTCCTCCTCCTCCTCCTCCTCCTCTTCCTCTTCCTGTTCCTCCTCCTCCTCCTCCTCCTGACCCTCCTCGTCCTCCTCCTCCTACTCTTCCTCCGGCGCCCCCCCACCAGCTCCAGGCCATGGCGCACCCTTCAGCACTCCATCGCGTCAGATGGCAGAGCGGATGCCAAGAGGGGGGTCGGGGCATCACAGACGCTGGCGAAGAGCAGAGCAGCGGCGTGCTCCTCCTCTTCCTCCTGGTGCTCCGGCTCCTCCTTCTGGTCCTCCTCCTCCTCATCGTCCTGGTCCTCCCCCTCCCCCTCCTCCTCCTCCTCCTCCTCCTCTCTCCTCCTCCTCCTCCTCCTCTTCTTCTTCTTCTTCTTCTTATTATTATTATTATTAGTATTATTGTTACTGCTCGTACTATTACTATTATAATAATTGTTTATTGTTCTTGAAAGTGTTAGTCGTAGTCTTGTTAGTAGGTTATCTACTTTTTATTATCAATATTATTATTGTTGTTATTATGATCATTCCTTCTCCTCCTCCCTCCTCCTCCTCCTCCTCCTCCTCCTCCTCCTCCTCCTCCTCCTCCTCCTCCTCCTCCTCCTCCCCTTCTCCCATGAGAGTTCTAATCGGCTGAAACGACGGCGACATCCGCCGATCTCATTTTGCGAGTCAATCCGCGGCCCCAGAAGTCCGGACTCCTTCTCGGGGGCTGTGCGCCTCAGGGCCGTTTCTGCTGGTCCTAGGGTCCGAGAAGGAGCCCCCAGGGGGTCCCAGATCGAGCAAAAAAAAACGCTGGGATTGCAAACATCGCATCGTCTGAGATCTGGGGTGGTGCCAATCGGCCGAAATTTGGGCCAGCGCCTACGCCCGACCGCCCTATCTGACTAAGGCTGAGGGGGAACGACAACGGAGGGACGGCACAGGGGGAGTGGGGGGTGGGGGAATATCGACCTGAATAGCTCGGCGATCGGCCCCCGGCAGCAAATCCAGACAGTCCTGGGAAGGGTGGGCTATCGGACACCTGTCGGCGATCAGTGGGCCATGCGGGGTCGATGCATCCCCCCCTGGGGCTGTCCCCTCCTGACGCTGCCCCTGACCTCCAAGTCTGAACCTGATCCTCGACCTCTGATTCTCGGGTCACAACGTTGCCTCCATCGTGCTCCTGAAATTTCCGTCATCTGACCACGACTCTCCTGAGTATCGTTGAACCGATCCCCATCCCCACCAGCGTGGGCTGGGCCCCCCTGGCCGATTGTACCCCCCATAGACGGGGATATGGGCCGTTCCCTTCGGGTTTCGGGGGGTGTATCCCCCCAGCTGGGGGTGTAATTTTTTGGGGGGGTCTCGAAGGGGATGAGCATGGGGACGGGGATCGGTTGAACTCAGGAGCGACAGAAGGACGTACATGTACATGAATCCACGCTGGTTTCGAGGGCACGCACTGCGCAAATGTTCGTGTAACGCGGCCGGTCTCGCGGACCGAGGGGCCGTGTTCATGTACATAGCTGGGCGCGTACGTCCTTTCTGGGCTCCCTATGAACGATGCTGATCTCCCGCGACGGCGCGGGGGAGGCCTCGCCGCCGCGTCGTGCGCGCCAGCGTCCGCGGCGGCGTCCTCCATGCCGGGCAGGCCGGGCCAGTCTGCAGGGTAGGCCGGCTCCTCCTGCTCCGCCTGCAGGGCGCCCTCTCCCTCCCTCCGGGGGCGCACCTCCGAGATCATGGCGCCGCCGTGTTATCACATCCTCCTGCTCAATCCTTCCTCCTCCTCCTCCTCCTCCTCCTCCTCCTCCTCCTCTCCTCCTCCTCCTCTCCTCCTCCTCCTCCTCCTCCTCCTCCTCCTCCCTCCTCCTCATCCTTCTCCCTCCTCCTCCTCGCGGCTTCGCCTCGTGCCCGGGGGGCCCCGGGGCCCTCGCAGGCCGATGCAGCGCGACGAGTGCTGCGGGGAGACGAGAGAAATCCCGCGCCGATCGGCAAAACAGGAGGAACAGGAGAACGATCGCCGTGCTCTCACTGTGTTTCGCAGTGTCGAACGTCGGGGCGTCCCTGGCCCGGTTCCTCGCTGGCCCTCCCCGCGGCTCGCCCGCAGCTCTGCCCCCCTGGGCGGACCTCTCGGCGGGGGGCGCTCCGGCCTGCTCGCCCGCCGCGGGGGGCCTCTCGCCCGAGGCGTCCAGCGCTGGCCCTCCCGGGAGCCCAGGAACGTAGGCGACAGTTTCAGGTCGGGCTCGGCCTCCTGCAGGCGGACTTTGGAGGGCAGATGCGAAAGAAGCAAGAACATGTTCAAGCATAGTCGAAACGGAAATCGAAGCCTCGTGCCCTGGTTTATGTCTTTACTATTCTTGAATAGATTCCTCCTGTGGAGGACCGTGCCCGACTTGACGACAGCTTCGCAGATCGCAGGCCCCCCAAGGGACGGCGAGGTCTCGACCTGGCCCGGGCGAGACGTCCACTGCGCGGGGATCGCCTCGGAGCCAGGCCCGCGCCCCACCTGGACGGAAGGATACGAGGGGGGGGGAGGGGGGGACACACGCAGAAGGCATCTGTACACCACCACCCTCCCTGGCCAGAGCCATCCTTGCCCTGGCATGGTGTACACGCCTCCTGGCCGAGGCCAGAAGGGTCTATACACCCCACCGTGGAGCCCAGGGTGGCCCTGGCAGGGCACGGTGGTGGTGTATAGACAGCAACAGCGGAGGACATCCCAGACATGCTCGCGTCGCGAAAACAGCCCGAGACGTGCCCAGCCCCTGCTCCACGCGAGGCGACTATTCATATAGGAACGCTCCACACGGAAGAGCACGCTGCGAGGACAATCTGCTCCGCTGGACCTCCCAGGAGCCCACGAAAGTGGCGATCGTTGCGCAGTTGGCAGCCTTCCAAGGAGCCGCAAGGTCTCGCCTGACTCCCGCCTCCGCTGGACCTCCCACGAGCCCACGAAAGTGGCGATCGTTGCGCAGTTGGCAGCCTCCCAGGATGCCGCGAGGTCTCGCATGCCTACTGCCTCCGCTGAACCTCCCAGGAGCCCACGAAAGTGGCCACAGTTGCACAGTTGGCACCCTGGGGGAGAGGAGGAGGAGGAGGAGGAGGAGGAGGAGGAGGAGGAGGAGGAGGAGGAGGAGGAGGAGGAGGAGGAGGAGGAGGAGGAGGAGGAGGGGGAAAAGGAGAATAATGAAGACCACAGTGCCCTATCGAGAATGAGAACCCAACGCAGGAGGGGTAGGAAAAACATGACTGAAAGTTCTCGGATGTTTTCGGCCTGCGGGGGCCCCCGCTGGGCCCGGGAGAGCGAAGAAGACAATTCGGGATGAAAACCGGCCCTGGGGAAAGGGTCGTAGCTTCCAGAGATCCCGCACTAAACAACACAAGCACCAGCAGCAGCAACAGCAACAGCAACAGCAACAGCAACAACAACAACAACAACAACAACAACAACAACACTAACAGCAACAGCAACAGCAACAGCAACAGCAGCAGCAACAGCAACAACAACGACAACCACACTAATAACGACAACAGCAGCAGCCGCAACAACAACAGCAATAACAACAGCAACAGCGACGACAACAACAGCACCACCAACAACAACACCAACACCAACACCACCAACAACAACAACAACAACACCAACCACAACTACAACAGCAGCAACAACGACAACGGCAACGACAACGACAACAACAACAACAACAACAACAACGACAACACCACCACCACCAACAACAACAGCAGCAGCAACAACAACAACGACAACAGCAGCAGCAACAACAACACCAGCAACAACAACAACAACAGCAACAACAACGACAACAGCAGCAGCAACAACGATAGCAACGACAACAACAACAACAACAACAACGACAACACCAACAGCAACAACAGCAACAACAACAGCAGCAACAACAACGACCACGACAACAACGACAACAGCAGCAGCAACAAACGCCAACACTAACACCACCACCAACAACAACAACCACAACAGCAACAACAACAACAACACATCGCAGTCTGGGTGCATGTCCGAGGCGACCACCGAGCTTCGCGCATCGCACCGCGCGAAACGCCAAACGCGTGCCCAGCCTCGCCCCCTCGCGCCGCCGCCATAGAGAGGCGCACCTCGCTGGCCCGGGCGCGCAGCGCCGCCCGTTAGGTGAAACAACTCCTCGCCCCCCACCCGCACAAAATACGGTGCGGGCAATGGATGGAGCAGCCAATGGGCAAGGAGTCCAGAGTCTGGAAGCCAGGGAACATCGCCAATGGATGCTTGGACATGGAGGTCACCGCCGCCATCCTGATCGGGGCTCTGAAGTTTCCTGGCCACGCTCCTCCACCAGCGCCTCCACCGCGGTGCAACTCCCCCCGAGCCCCGAGAGCCTCGGGAACGCCCCGAACCGCCCCAGGGCGCCCAAGAGCGGCGATCCCCGGTCCCCGACCGTCGCCGACGACGGTGCAAGTCGCACCACTCCTCTTGCACACGCAAACGACGCCCATGCACCAGAGCCCCGGGAACGCCCCGAACCGCCCCAGAGCGCCCAAGAGCGTCGATCCTCGATCCCCGACCGTCGTCGACGGCGGTGCAAGTCGCACCACTCCTCTTGCACACGCAAACGACGCCCATGCACCGCCGCCGCTCCCGGCCAGGCCATCCTAAGGGCCCTGTCCTTGTGAAATTACGGCCGCTTCGTGTCGTGACGACCCTGGCAAGCGGCCTCTGACGCCGCCAGAATCGCTCCGCCCTGCGTGATCGGCGGCTCTTCGATTCAGTCGGGGCGTTGACCGAAGGAACCCTAAATAAGGAACGGGGCACCTTTCTCCACAACGTCGATGTTCCATCGAATGACGTGCTGACAAGACAACGCGGCCCGAACAACCCCTTGGACAACGCCACAAGAATCCGGACAACCCTCCTGGACAACCCCCCTTGGACAAGCCTCCCCAGGATTTTTCCATAAGATCCAATAAGAAGGTCCAATAAGGGCAGCCTAAGGCAAACTGTAAAACAACTAAAAAGCCCTGAGCCCCTCCTAAACGAAATGGGTTCCTTCTTCAGTGCCCCGCCTGTAGCCAGATCGTTCCGTCATGGCTGGCGGCGCTCGGCCATACGATGTCGGAGTCTCCGGAAGCCCCGACCTCTTCCCCAAGGCTGGCCGTTCGTCCTGAGTCTTGCTTGAAGGGATGTGGGGCCCGGCGAGGACCCCCGAAGGGTCGAAAACGGCAACAATTGTCTTTGTCTGGGACGCCGGACGTCTATACGCTCTCCTGGCCGAAGCCAGGAGGGCCTGCATACCGCTTTGCACGCCCAGAATGGTGACGGAAGGTACGAGTTCAGGCAGAACAAGAGCTGCTGTCCTCCGGAGCACTTCTGACATCGATTGGGGGTCGATTGGGCGATTGGGGGTCGATGCATCCCCCCCTATGCCCGTCCCCCCCTATCGTTGCCCCTGAATGAGGCAACCGCGCATCTCCCCAGCTGCACGCAAGAGTGGCCCTGGGCTGGAGTGGCCCTGGGTGCGCGGCTCGACGGGGGACCGCGGGGACGCCAGGTCCAAGCGCGCAGGCCAGGGCTGGGAGAGCCCCTGCGGGCCCGCCCCAAAGAGCACTCCGGCGAAAGGGGGCACGTCTTGCGCGTAGTTTTGGACGCCCGAAATGGGTACGGAAAGAATGGGCACAATGCCCAACAGCAAGTACTGTCCCAAACCAACAGCGGCCATTGTTGGGCAGGCGGCCTTCTGTCTCAAATGGACACAGGCCGCGGCGACACCGACGGGGCGTCCTGCTCAAAATGAACAGGAACTGCTGTTGGGCATTGTACCCATTCTTTCCGTGCCCATCTCGTGCGTGCAGAGTCAACCGATACCCGACGGTGTGATCTGTTCAGCCGGCGGCTTTTCCCGGACCTGGGCCTCCGTGGCCCGCTCCATGGGCCCCAGGACCACCACAACGCACAGAGTAGACCTGGAGCGAAACCCGGACCTCGGGGAGGGGGTCGGGTCCTCTGGGGCCGCGGATCGGAAACATTATGTCCGCGGATGTCTGGGAGGAGGAGGAGGAGGAGGAGGAGCAGGAGGAGGAGGAGGAGGAGGAGAAGGGGAAGGATGAGAGGAGGAGAAGGAGGACAGGTAGGCGTTCTGGGCTCTCCAGGGTGGGGGGTCTTGTGTGCACATGCTTCAGAGCGCCGTGTACGCACGGGCACTGGCAGCGCGTTTCCCTTGCTGGGGACAAGAGCCCAGCGCATTCCCAGCTTTCCGCTGCTTTCTCGGCTCCCCTGGCACCGAGCGAGGGGCCCCGCCGCCCCGTCGCTCGGGGGCGCGCGCCTGCCGCGGCGCGTCTCGTGGGCCGACGGCGGCGAGGGCGCCGCGCCCTGGCAGGTGGTGTGCAGGCAGCGCATCCGCGCGGGCAGCGCGCAGGGCCGCCGCCGCGCGCCGCCGGCGCAGGCTCTGGGCAGGACGGCACCGCCTTGCCAGGACCGCGCAAGCCGCACTGGGGCTGCGGGCGCGGTGGGATCGACAACAACTGGGCCAGTGGGCTGGCGTGCCGCGGCTGCGGCGCAGCGGCCCCCGGGTCCTGGCGCCAGGAGGCGCCGGCAGCCGCGGCGGGGGAGGCCGCGGCGCTCCCCGCACGCGCGGTGCGGGGCCGAGGCCGAGCGGGCCCAAGACGAGCGCTGGCGGCGGGAGCAAGCCCAAGCCAGCGGAGGTGGCGGCCGAGCAGCCAGCAGATGCCGCGGGAGGCGCCAAGGCTGCAGGAGGCGGCACGTCGGCGGCGGACATCATGGCGCAGCTGGCGGCCGACGAGGCCAAGCTGGTGGCGAAACCCGAGCCGCCGAAGGAGGAGAAGCCGAGGACGTATGCGCAGGTGCTGCAGGGCTGCCTGTGGAAGGTGGAGCGCCTCGGCAAGCAAGTGCGGGCGCGCGCGGCGGAGCAGGAGGAGGCCGAGGAGAGGATCCGGGAGGCCCGCGAGGCGCTGGAGGCGGCCAAGCTGGCCTCCGCCGAAGCCGGCAAGAAGCTGGGCGACGCGCAGGCTGAGCTCGAGCAGGCCAAGTGGGTCCAAGCGGTGGGGCTGCCGCCAGGGTCCAAGTCGGCCCACGCGGGCAGCCTCGCCGACTCTCAGGAGGGAGGGGCGGTGCTCGCTGCCCTGGGCGCCGAACACAAGGGGCCGCTCGAGAAGGCCATCATGCAAGCCGAGCTCGCCATGGAGGCCAAGGTCGACGCGCTGCGCAAGCAGGCGGATGCCGAGAGCATCGTCATCCCCGACGTGGACGAGGAGATGGGCGACGTCGAGGCGCCTGTTGGGGGGGCGAGTGATCAGGATGCTGCTCCTGCTGCTCCAGGCGGCGATGGCGGCGGCGGGATCGACCACGAGGGCGCGGCCTTCATCGAGTCGAGCTCCAAGCTGGACGGGGACGGGCGCCGCAAGTTTGAGGAGGCGTGTCAGTCAGCAGGAGTGTCCGTCCCGTCCTTCAAGAAGCTCAAAGGTGAGGGAGGACAAGCAGTCGAACGAGGCGAAGCAGTGCCTCCATCGAGCGCGCCGTGAAGGCGAGACCTGGAGGCTGGATGCGGCCGACACGACCTCCAGGGCAAGCATGATGAAGCGGCTGCAGCAGGACGCGACCAGCGACGTGGTCTTCCTGCAGGAGGTCGGGGTGGCGCCTGGCGCCAAGGCGGAGGCGGAGCAGGCCTGCCGCCGAGGAGGCTGGAGGGTGGCGTTCAAGGTGCCTGTGCGGACCGACAAGGGCGGCCTCCCCAGCGGCGTAGGGATCGGCGTGCGTTCCCACATCGGGATGGGAAACCCGCCAAGGGGGCCAGCCCTCCCGCGAAGTCGAAGCTGATTTTCGGCCAGCTCGGGCGCTACCTGGCCCACACAGCGGTGCCGTAAGTGGTTGGCGGCGGCTGGAACTGCAAGCCGAGCGAGCTCCAGGACTGGGGCTGGCCGCAGGCGGTGGACGGGATGACGATCACGCCTGGAGTGGCCACGTGCCGCAGCGGAGGCGGCAGCGAGCTCGACTGGTTCGTGGTCTCGAGCGGGCTGGGGCACTTGGTTCGTGGGTGCAGGAGGCTGGACGAAACGCTCGCACCGCATTGGCCAGTTCGCCTCGAGCTGGGCAAGCGTGGCGAAGCCACGAGGCGCCCCGTGCACAAGTGTCCCCGTGATGTCCCCGCTGTCCGTCCCATTGGGCCGAGGCCCGAGCCCCCGTGCTGGGGTCCCCGGATCGGAAGGCTGCGAGGAGTGCTGGCACGGCTCGGCCACCCCCAGGCGGCCCGCGAGCCCGCCGAGGAGGCGGCGCAGGTGAAAGAGCTCGCCTCATCTGGTTGGCCTGATCGGAGCCCTCTCCCCGCTCGGCCCTCCCTCCGAAACGCAGTCGTTCTCGTGTCTGGCGGGAACGGGCACTCGGTGTTGCGCCTGGGGAGGACCTGGGGCTGTAGCATCTGTGGGGCTAGAAAGGGGCCCCGATCCAGGCTTGTGTACTCGCCCTGCCCAGGAATGCCCAGGCCTGCTGCGATCGCCCACTGTGGGTGGTTCGTGGGGATCGGGGGCGGGGGGTGCGCTTGGAGGGGCTCATGGGAGGCGTAGGACGATCGTGTTCTGTAAGATCTGCGGGGCCTACGCGCGTCGGCAGGTGGTCCACGGGACGGTCTGCATTGACGGCTCAGCGATGTTCCCAGAGTGGGGCGAGCTCACGCGGAGTGGCTGGCCTGCATCTTCGTGGACCCCGACGGGACGCTGAGAGGAGGTATGTCCGGTTGCGTGCCTGGGCCAGTGCAGGAGAGTGGCTGTGCCGAGCTCTAGGCGCTGCTGAGGGCGTTGCAGGTTGCAGGAGAAGGGTCCCGAGGTCGACGTGGCCACAGACTACCTGCGGCTGGTGGAGGACTTCGAGCGAGGAGAGGAGTCGTGCGTGGCGGCGGGTTTGCTGTACGCAGACTTGTGGCGCGAGGTCTGGGCGCATGTCAAGGACCTCGGTGCTGAGAGCTTCAGCCTCCGCTGGGCGCGGGCCCACACCAGTTGGGCTGCGGCGGAGGCTGCAGGCGTCCCGCTGGCCTGGCGCCGCGGCACACGACACGCGGACGCCAAGGCCGAGGAGGGCGCGAGGCTGCACTCCTCCCTCGTCGCCTTGGAGGAGCAGGCGGCCCAGGTGAGAGCGGCCACCCGTGCCGTGGAGCTGACTGCCGCTCACCATGGAGCGGTGCTGCACGGCCTTGGTCGCCCCTGCCGCCCGACCTCGTCTCGGCCCCGATGGTCGGCCCGTCTGGCTCGATCGGCCCTGGGGCGCCTGTTGTCTGGAAGGGAGCCCCAGTCTAACGTCGTGTGCTGGGGGCTCCCCTTCCCCCTCTCTCGGGACTCGTTCGGCGCGGCGCCCACCGTCGGGCCTGAGGAGGGGGGAACATTCGTCGGGCCCCGAAGCCGAGGAGGCATAGGCCTCCTGTTTCGTGGTTGGTCCTGCTTGGTGGTAGGTAAGGTTAGTTCGGCGGTTGCAGGACTTTCTCTTTGCAGGGTCAGAGGCTCAGAGGAGGAGGACAGGTCGTGGTGGTCCTTGGGGCCTTCTGGAGCGTCTTTGGTGCCCCGGAGAAGTCCTGAGGTTCGCAGCAGCTTTGAGCCCCCCTGGGCCCTCCGCCCCTGGGGTTGCTCAACAACGACCGGGACGACTGGGGCAGGGCCCCGATATCCAGGACCCGTCTCCCGCAGGACCCGCTCCCAGACCTGCGCTGCCCTCGAACGTTTCAGAGGATGGCCCCCCCGTCGTCTGTCCCAGGGCCGGATCTTGTGTCCCGAATCTTTTTGGATGGCCCCAGGGACCAGCCCGGGCCCCCCTGGAGGCAGAAAACAACAAACGACTCTTCGTCGCGATGTTTCAAAAGATGGGGCCCCTGGTCGTCTTCTCCAGAGCCGGCTTGCGAAAGTTTTCTTGTTCGGCGTTTCGACATCGGGCGGAAGGGGGGGGATGGGGAGGGGGTCTGGCCCCGGACCTCTGCTTGATGCGACTGTTTGCAACGGTGCGTCCTCTCGGGAAGGCTCCACCCGCTCGAAACAGGCGCCAAAAAACAGCCAGGATCTACTCCATGGGGGAGGGGGACGGGGGGTGCGAGGGCTCGCGCCGATCGGCAAAGCGATGAATAAGGAAACGATCACCTTCTTGTCCCGAATCAGTGTTTGATGGTCCCAGGGCCCAGCGAGGGCCCCCCCTCTGGAGGCACCAAGTAACAGCAAACATAATCTCTTCGTCGCGATCTTGTCCAAGACGCGGCCAGGTCTGGGCCTGTTCTTCTTCGGCCCAGTGGCGGCGCGCACGGCAAGGGTTAGGTCGGGCCTGCCCCCCTACAGGGGGATTTTGGACGAAAAATGAAGGATACCCCAAATATATTATGAAAAAATGCTCAAACATACTTAAAACATGATCCCCATATTATGTGTTTGCTATTTGTGAACTTTCCTCCTGTAGGGGGACAGGCCCGACTTCAGGCAAGGGGGTGGCGCGAGGGGGGGGGGAGGCGGCCTCCCGGGCAGGCGGGGCCGCTCCCCATGGCGGGCGCTCTCTCGGAGACGCCCCCCGAGGCTTCCGCGAGGAAGGGGCCCCTGAGGCGCCAGGACTCCTACGTATCTCCGACGAGCCGATCTTTCCATAACTGTCGGTTTTCCCTCGATGTGGGCCTCCGGGGCAAGTGGTCGGGCCCCGAGACAACCGAAAAGAGGATCCGGGGCGGAAGCCTATCTCCAGGGAAGGGGTTCGGGATCTCTGCGGGGCCGCGGATTGGGTAAGATATGGCGTCGGAGGTCCAAGGACGGGGGGGGGGCCCTCCGAGAAACCCCCCTGCCTTCTCGCAGAGACCCCCCGCATGCCCGTCTCCAAGGCACCCTCTTGCATTCTCAAGAGCCCCCCTGCCTGCTCAGAAAGCCCCCCCCCCTGCCTTCTCAGAGGCATCCCCGCCTTCTCACAGACCCCCCCTCTGCCTTCTCGCAAAAAAAAAAAAAAAAAACACTCCCCTTGCCTCCTCTCAAAGACCCCCCCCCGTGCGTCCTCAGCAGCCCCCCTGCCTTCTGAGCAGCCCCCCCCCCCCTCCGCTCGTGCCCACGCTGCTCGCGGCGCCCCGTGGTGGCGTGGCCCCCTTTTGGCACGCCCGCGGCCGCCAGCGTGGCGGGGGCCATGCCCAGGGCCCCCACGCCCGGCGTGGCCCTGGGCACCGGCGTCGGCAGGCTGGCGGGCCCGTTGCGGAAGCGCCGCAGGGCGACCGCGGGCGGCTGGAACTTGGGCGCCCCCCTCGGGGTGGCCTCCGTGAGCATGCCCGCCGGGCCCTGGGTGGGGTCCATGGCCGCCTGCGGGGGGCGGGCGGGGCCTCTCTGCAGCTCTGGCCTCGGGCGCCCCGGGGGAGCGCGCGAAGCTCTCCGAGGCCGGATCGGGCGAGTGGGCCCGAATGTCCTCTGGACGGGCGCATCGGGTTGGGCGGGCGGACGGCGAAGGAAACGGCGGCGACGGCGGCGACGGCGACGACGACGACGACGACGGCGACGACGGGGACGGCGGCGGCGACGGCGACGACGACTGCGACGACTGCGACAGCGACGAGGTCGATCGAAGCAGAGGGCCTTGCCTTTCCCCACCCCTGGTCCCGCAACATGGGGACCACGGCACAACTGCGTATTGTGACTGGAACGCGCTCCCACCTTGCAGATGGAAGGCGCTCGCGCGCGGCCCCGCTTCCGACGACCTGGCGAGAAGAAAACTACGCGGGCCGTGCGGGGCGGGGACTGGCCAAACTTCCGATGGGCGGCCGCGGCAGAGACGAAGCATGCGCCGCGCTGGCACAGCACCGCCGCTCTCACTAACTGCGTGGCTGCTGTGCGAGGGCGGCACTTCGCCCGATTTCCCGCGGCCCCGTTGCCGCTGTCGTTTCCACGCGACTCGGCGAAGGAGCCATGCGCCGCGCCCGCGCTGGGCGCCCCTTTCCGAGCAGCATGCGCACGGAGCTTGGGCGAAGGCGACAAGTTACCCACCCGCGAGGCCACCAAAAATAGGCGAGAGACACAGATGCGCCGCGCGCAGGCGGGAACCCGACGTCCAGGCGAAGTCTGAGCGGCGCCGAAGCGAGAGAAAAACTGTCGTCCGCTCTTGCGTCGGCGAAATTGCATGCGAAAAATGCGCGCCGCTCCCCCGCGGGAGCTCCATCCTCTAGAGCAATAAACGCGGCGCAGAGGCGAGAGCGACATATCAGCCTTTCGCGCGGGATGCGCGCCCTGTCCTATTCCGGCCGCGGATTTTGCAGCATGGGCGACAAAATACCCACGTTGAGACCAAAAGCGTTAACATTGTAGCGTTTTTGTCCCAGCCATCCTGTGGTGTTGGGTCCTCGCTTTGAAGAGACGGCGCCCCGCGTCCTTCCTCCTGGTCCTCCTCCTCCTCCTCCTCCTCCTCCTCCTCGTCCACTCCTCCTCCTCCCCCTCATCATCATCATCCTCCTCCTCCTCCTCCTCCTCCTTCTCCTCCTCCTCCTCCCCCTTTCCTCCTCCTCCTCTTCCTCCTCCTCCTCCTCGTCCACTTCCTTTTCCTCTTCCCGTCCGCGGCCCTGGCACCTGGCACCTGACCCATTGTAGATCTGGCGTCCACCAGAGCCAGGCGCATCGGCCCAGAGTCCAGAGATAACAACGAATTCCTGGGGCGCGTGGCAATCCGACGGCCCGCCCAAGTGCCTGCGACAGGACACACGCACACACACACACACACACATAGACACACACACACACAAACAAAACACACACACACACACACACACACCACCAACACCAACACCAACACCAACACCAACACCAACAACAACAACAACAACAACAGCAACAACAACACCAACAACAACACCAACAACAACAACAACAACAACGACAACGACAACGACAACGACAACAACAACAACAACAACAACAACAACAGCAACAACAACAACAACAATCATTTAAGACTGGGGACACTCCGTTCTCACCAGCGCCAGGGTTTTCATAGGAGGCGGGCAATACCCCCACTTTGTGGGGGGGCCGGTTCAAGCTCTACCAAGTTTCCAAACGACTCTTCGCCACCACCCACACCCAGCTTCCCGCCCTATGACGTTCGGACACTTCACTTCGTGGCCTGCGGACGACCTTGGCTACTACACTGGCGCATGGGTACAGTGACTTGTTGTGGTAACATTTTGTGGAAGCTAGCTTAGTATACGACTTTTCCCCCTGTTCCAACACTGGACACCTGTACCGTTTTCCGACGTTTTTCCGTTTCTGTACCACACAAGCGAAGACACTTATTTTGAGTGGTACCACGTGCGTGGCGCCAGCATACCACAGGACTTGTTTCCGTTGTTTAGAATACTGCAGTTGCCAAGTGCCGCGTCGAGCTTTTCAGCCGTGTCATACTGCAAAGGTCCAGAGTCAGGGTGATACTTCACGTACCATTGCCTCAAAACCATACCGCTGACAGCGACGGGAGGATCGCTCTCCGAGAGAAGCTGCGAGAGGACCTCCGCGGCGGCCTCGTCGGCGAAGCTCTCCCGATACTGATTGAGTCGAAGACGCTGGCCTATGCATTCCTCCACAGCTTGGGCAGTATTGAGTGCTCCCTTGGCGCCCCACTCAGTGCTGAGCCACTTCTGGCATACCCTGGCGTCAGCAGATACAGATAAATGTCCCAGGAGCCACTGCTTCAAGACGGCCCCGTCAGTAGCCCCCTCGGGCATGTCTGTGCGAATACGTTCTCCATACCAGGTCTCCAAATGGCCAGCGTTCTGCACTATGACAAGCGTCTCTTTGGAAGAATACTGCAGTAGCCACGCCGTTGCGACCGGATTTGACACATACAGTGGTGGATCCAACCGTCGGAGCGCCCCACATAATTTGAAAGCTGTATTATACTCGATGCCCAGATGGCGGATGGCAGAGCCGTGCTGCTCCTCCAGCTCCTTGGCGCTAGAAATACTGACCTTGCCAGGCACAACCCGATACTTGACCCACCAAACCTTGCACGCCTGGTGACTGACCTGGATACCCTTTGCAACGAGCGCCTGATGCAAATAAAACGGGCTGCCGCAGTCGGCCAAGGGAGGCCGCGACAGCTCTGGGCCATACTGCTCGTCAAGGGCTTTCGCCGACAAAGCCATGACCCATCCAAGAACACAGGCGATACCTTGATCCGAGATGGCTACGGATGTGACAGTGATCAGTGATTTTGTTCGATGACGTGGTGACACACTGACTTGTTGTGGTACCATGCCGACAACGACGACGCGACGACGCGCGCATGTGTCCCGCATGATATTTTTTGCAAGGGATTGTGGCCCCTGGCAGGCGCGCGAACGCCGTTGAAAGAGCTTGCGAAAACAGCTCGCGCGAGCTCTATAACATAAATGTTGAAAAACCATTGGTTTTTAAGGATTCGGACAGCGCGCGCGGGTAGAAATTTTGAAAATTCGTACAGATGTTTTTCGAGAACCTACGGTGCGATTCGTATGATTTTATGTTGCGCGGTGCTAAAATTCCTAAGAAACCCAATGATTTTTGAAGATTTCGGCGTGCGCGCGCGAAGAAAAAACGAATGTGTCCCACATGGTATTATTTGACAGGGATGATGGCCCTGGCAGGCGCGCAACCTTTGTTGCAGAAGTTCGAAGCACGTGAAAAAGTTGCTCGCAAGAGCCCGTTTGACAGAAATGTTGAAAAAGTATTGGGTTTCCTAAGAAATCCGCAAGAGCGCGCGGGGTGAATTTTTGAAACCCTTTTTTTGAAAAACCATTGGGTTTTTCATGTTTTTATGTGAAAATCGCTACGAAGACTAAGGTTTTGGAAGGATTTCGTCTTGCGCGCGCGAATGTGCACTTCGTGTCATTTTTTGCAAGGGATTCTTGAAGTTTGGTCATGTTAGAACAAGAAATGTCCACTTTGCCTTATTTTTTGCAAGGGAAAACCGATCGTAACAACACAACCGGATCTGGTATACCCCGTTTTGCCTGAGACTTCCTCACGAAAATGATGAAAATGTGGCTGCGGCCTAGGCGCGGCGGGGGGGGCGCGCACCAGGGGCCCCAACAATAATTATTCTTTAGAATTAATAATGTTCAACAACAACAACAACAACACAGCAACAACAACAACAACAACAACAACAACAACAACAACAACAATAATGTTAAGACCGTTCGCCCTTATATGCTCGAGTGTCCAATAACGCGTAGTTCCCAAACCCTCGATACCCGCCCTCTTCGTCTTCGATCGAACCCCTTTTGGGGGGTATACCTTTCTTCCCTGCAGGCCGGGCCCCGGCAAGCGGCGGGGCGGCCGCGGACCGTCGGCCTGGCCAGCGGCAGCGCTGATCGGCGGGGCGGCCGCGGACCGTCGACCCGACCCCAAGAGGGACGGACAGGGGACCGACCACGACGACGACGACGACGACGACGACGACGACGACGACGACGTCGAAGACGACGGCGACGACGACGACGACGACGACGCGACGACGAGCGAAAGCGAGAGCGAGAGAGAACGACAGCAGGGCCACGAAGGGCACGAAGTAGGCCACGAAGGGCGACAGCGGGGACACGAAGGGAATGCGTATGGGGCCACGAAGAGTGCGAACGAGCGGGGGCCACGAAGTGCAGATAATGCGGAGCCACAGGAGGCAACTAATTATGGGGCCACTGAGGGTAGCAACTGGACCACGTAGGACAGTGAGGGGGACACAAATGGCGACAGCGGGGCCACGAAGGGCATGCACATGGGGCCACAACGGGCGCGACTCCTGGGTGCCTGGGTGTCGGGAGCGCGGCGCTTGGGCAAATTGCAGGAACTTCCAACGCAAGGCCATTCTTCAGTAAGTTGCAAGCAAGTCTCCAGCGAGAGCGCGACTCCAGAGCGCCGGTAGAGCGATTCTTTAATAAATTGCAAGCGAGAGCGCGATTCCTGAATAAAGTGCAAGGAAATCTCGGGCGGGAGCGGGGGTCCTGGCTAAATTGTAAGGAGGTCTCAGGCGGGAGCCGTTGTTGTTGTAACCCGGGGGCCAGGGGGCCAGTTTGAGCAGGAAGACTTTCCCTGTCAAAAAACAGGGTGCGAGCGTCGAGGGGCACACTTTGATGGAGAAAAAACAGTATGCACCGGTGGGGGGGGATCAACCATAATTATTCTTCAGAAATGAGAATTCAACAACAACAACAACAACAACAACAACAACAACAACAACAACAACAACAACAATTACTAGCACGTGGGGACATTCCGTTCTCACCAGTGCCAGGGTTTTCATAGGAGGCGGGCAATACCCCCACTTTGTGGGGGGGCCGGTTCAA